TATATAGTACTATATATATATATATATATATATATATATATATATATATATATATATATATATATATATATATATATATATATATATATATATATATATATATATACATATATAGTTTATTTCTATACGATTTCATCATTTATGAACATAAGTAAACACACACACACTTACAATCACGCTCAGGTTGTACTCGGGAAGTACGGTGAATCCGGACTGCGAGATGCCATCAAAGCCGTGACACAGGGTGGTATGAGTTGGAGCAGTGACGAGCTGTTGAATAGTGCAGAGAGCTTGGGCGTAGCCAGTCCTAACTCAGACTTGGCATCCGCACAGAGCAAGGGCTTGCGAATGACTATGAAGGTGTGTGGGGTGTGTGGTGGTGTGGGAAGTGAGGTGTACCTGTCATATAGATGGGCAGGCACTCACACACGCATTCATATGTAGAGTTTTAAGCAAGAGATACGTAGTGTTATCATATGTAGAGTTTTAAACAAGAAATACGTAGTGTTATCGTATGTAGTGTTTTAAACAAGGGATACGTAGTGCTATCATATATAGAGTTTTAAACAAGATACGTAGTGTTATCATATGAAACGTAGTCAAAGCTGTAGAACGATTGCGTCGATGAGTGCATTGTTTATGCTTATAGAATAGTTGACCGTTAAATTGTAGCGAAAAGCACATGCACGTGTATGCATGCACTGTACTAGTACATACACAACACTCATGGCTCCCTAACCCCCTGCGCCTGTAGTAGTTATCCATTCAGGCATTGCTTCTCATCAGTTCTATATCACCTAACACCACACAGAAACTGCGTGGAAGTGTAGCTAACAAGAAGGAAACCAACCGCGACTCCATGGGAAGTGCCCACGGCTCAGACATGAACTCAGCATCAAGTGGTCTCAATGCAGGGGTAGGGGAGGAGAGGAAGGCTCGCTCAGGGCTTATGCGTACACTGAAGAAGATGACCCTCCGTAAGGATGTACATAGAGGTCAGCCTATCAAGGTTAGTATGGAAGGGAAAGGGTGAGGAAGATCAAAGAGTGAGTTGAGTGCATATATATATATATATATATACAAACAATATATATACAAACAATACCCATTCACAATCATTTTACCCATAGCACAACCACACACCGCAATACCACCCACACTCACACACTGATCTCTCCCCACAACAGGAGCTTCTGTTCAACATTGACCAGCAATGGATGGCCCTGAGTGGTCTGAGCAAAAGTGAATCAGCTGAGATCTACATGGCTGCCGCCACTCGCAGCCCCGCTTATGGCTGTGCGATGTTTGAGATTGAGGTGTGTGTGCGATGGGGGTGTGGGTTGAGATTGTTAGTTTTTGGGTTTTAAGGGTTTATAGTTCAGTTTTAGGGTTTGGGGTGTGGGTTGAGATTGATGTAAGTATGGCATTCATGTCTATGCTTTGTTTGATGTTCATACGGTTGATGTTAAAACGGGTTATAGGTTGGGTGTATTTGACAATAGTAGTGGTCCATGTGTGTATTCATGGCCGTATTATGTACCATGTGAGTTTGTAAGCAAGCTGTGCGCTTGTGCCTCGTTGTTGCGTGGTTTGCTACTGTAGTTTATTTGCGATTCGGTTGTCATCGTAGTCAAGACCGCTTTTAATATCTTGGTCTGTAGTAGTCACCTTCTATAAGCAGACGTAGATGCATATAGGGCGAGTTGTATGTATGGGTATGTCCGCACTACTATATGTTTGTATCTTCACATCTGTTTTGCCTTATGTTGCCGAAGATATGGTCAGTGATTGGTCTATACATGCTCTGTGTTTCCGACTCGACGTATGTCAGGGACTGTGATCAAGATGTATATATACATACATATACATACACATATACATATACATATACATATACATATATAGATACATATACATATACATATACATATATATATATATATATATATATATATATATATATAATGTGTGCACGTATTAAATGAAGTGAAGAAGAGCGAACGTACACTTTCTAAACATAGGTCAATCGTTAACTGTTGACATGCACTAGCACCGAATTATGGTCTCTAACCTCGCAAGATACACTTGTGGCTCATACCGCAGACTTATACTATCCTGCTCGTACCTCATGTGTGTACTGTACTACATATGATCCTGTACTACATGTGTGTCCTGTACTACATATGCCCCCACAGTCAGTAGCAGTACCGTCCCATTGCACGAGTCCAATACAGCCTCACGTGTTACTTACGCAAGCACAGTGCGACCTAACTATTGATCTGACTAACACACACCCAAAACAAACACACTTAATAAACAGTACTACAGCAAAGACACCAGGGAAACTATGGGTGTTACATACGACCAACTGAATATGAACCGCAACCGATGGCTGGCAGTGAGTCGTAAGGGATTGGAGATTCGCGTGCGCAACACAGCCGCGACGGAGATCAGCATACCTTACGAGGCATGATGTTCACGCGTGCGTGTGTGGTGTTCACGTGTGTGTGTGTGTGAGAATGTATGTACAAGAGCGTCCTTGTATATGGGGGTTTGGGGTTAGATGTTTTATACGTTATTGGGTTGAGCGGTAAGTATGCGGAGATAGATGAGGCAGTATGTCTGTTCTCGTCACATACGCATCAGCCTGGACTACCTAAATCACACCGTATAGTGTACTGCAATACAAATATGTCCATACACGTCCCTTAGTACTTGTCACTAATCCGACCATCCGATACTCGATATGTGTGTTTCTGTTGGCGACCATGATTACATACACAAGGACATACCGACAAAAAAAAGCACACATACTCAAAACAGCACGGATGCAATTACACACTCACGCACACGTACACGTACACGGCTACGATATAAATAGATGTGTTAGCATACACAAACTACCGGCATATATGAAGCGTATACCACTTGTTTACACACACGCAGGTGCATACAACGATGCACCTGAAGTTGTACACGCTTAAATGTGTACACAGACACGAGCACACTAGAGGACCTAGCAAGTTGTACTAGTGCGGGTTAGAATAACACTCATTGTAAAGATCGATCTTCTCCACCTACACAACCCATTCACGGTCTGCGACGGCTACTCATATTTAAAATCACGTTCAATTCAAGTTAATACGAAGGTCTATCTATCGGTGTATACCAAACGCAACACGCGTGTCGCAACTCGAAGACCACAGTTCACTATAGACACTACACCCTACATAGAGATGCAGAAAAGTAATAGACACTACACCCTACACAGAGATGCAGAAAAGTAATAGACACCACACCCTACACAGATACGCAGAAAGTAACACGAGTATTCGTTGTAACACTAATGCAGGATATCGTGAGCACTGAACTACCCGAAAGGAATGCCTTTGAATGTGCCACGACGGAAGAGGTGCTAGTGTTCCTAACACACGGGGATGAGCACTATGAGATCAACAAACTCTTCACAGCTTACCTAAGCAGTGACTAGTCCGAGCCTTAGTTATAATATCTCGAGAATAAGATCAAGTGTCTGTATAATTTACAGTCCTGAATAATATAACCAATTGGGGATTCTGGGACTGATACACCCTTAGTTCACCCTGTGATTGAGCAATTAGCTACCAAAGTAATTATCCTGTATGTGATCCCCAATGCAATGTGTTTGGCCTGTTCGAGGTGCCTTGTATAGTATACAGGTTTCCCTTGGAGCGAGATAAAGCACATGGGCAGTTGTTGCAACAACATGCTTTCACATTAAAAACATATGGGTAGATGCAACCGCATTCTCTACATTTAAATCACATGAATAGTCGCAATAAAATTTGTACATATTGAATCTTACCACTTTCGTGTGGCAGGTATTGTATTTCGTTTTCGTTTGACAGGTGGTGAATTTCGTTTTGGTAAGTATTATCTTTGAATTTCGTTGCAGCATGTATACTCTCTATGCATCCGTTTGGTACACCCAACTGCACCTTGAACTTCTTTGTCACGATGTGCTATCGCTAACCCGTTGTCCGTGCACGTGGACTTTGTGGTACACAACAACACAAAGATCATGGAGAACACAATATCATATTATATTTGTCATCAGCGTACTCGTTTTTTTGCCGTGCAACACTTTACACAAGGCGACGCATAGTTCTAGGCGAATCAGTCGCCGATAAGAATTCATCATAACCTTAGCTTGATCTGATATACGCATAGCGTAACCAATATTCGCCGATTTGTTATTATGAGCTCACCGTCTACAGATACGGGTAGGTCTTGGATCGCCGAATCCCATTTCAACTAAGCATCGAGATCGGATAGATATTCATCATCGAAACATTTCCAGTTTACTAAAGACCTTGGACTTGCGGGTTGGCCCCGGTGTGAGCACAGCTACTCTTTATAGTGGATATGGTGCTATTCACGTTGAAGTGTAGTCACTTGAAGTGTAGTCACTTTGACGAGTGATTTGTTCATATGTCACGTTCAAGTGAGTGTTATTTGTAATGAAGAGTGCTTTAATCATGTTAGGGGTTGTGCTTTGCACGTAGTCAAGCGTGTGCTATTCATTTTCACGGGTGACTAATAAAACCTCGAGTGCAGGCCTCGCCACGGCAGCACTAGGTCAGATGCCTGGCGTCTGGCGCAGCTCGCTACTCAGACTGCCATGTGTGCAAAAGCTCCTTGCATCTGAAGCGATATTGTCCCTCGAAAAGTGGCACAAGCTCCACGCAGTCTGATTGACAGGCGCTATCAAAAGGAAGGGCAAACTGGTGCCTCAGGCTCTCAAGAATGATGGGAAGCAGCGGCTGTGGTTGCAGCGTTATGCAAAACCGGAAAAGGGGCAGTTGTTAGCAATGTTTGTTCGGAGGCAGCAGGATCCAACATTGCGGCAGGTAAAATTACACTAGTTATTGACAATGCGACGTTTGTATCCCCAGTCAGGAATGCCTTGAGGAAGTCGCTCATTAAATGTTCGTGTAGGTGACATAATTAGCCACGTGCACCTCGACACGGGAGCTACGCCTACATTGATAAGTCAATCTTTAGCAGAGCGACTCGGGTTAGAGTTAGCAGACATGTGTGTACTGCGACCTGGCGGAGTGATTTCACTAGACTCGGTCCAAGCGATATAGAAGGGATCTGTGGCAGTCGGTAAGCTTGCCGTCTTGCCCGATTGTAAGAGAGGTTCCCATGAACTGCGATGTGCTGATAGGTTACAGAAAAATGCAAGCACAAATGTGGCATCCCTTATGATGCGGCAACGTGATCTAACAATATATGCCATATGTTTATACATGTATGGTCATTAATCGCGTACCCATACTGTATACATACAGATTGTTTTTAAAAAAAGCTTTTTTTGTTCAAAAAATGAGAGTTGAGATTTATCTGAACTCCGAGTCACTGAACTCCGAGTCTCTGAACTCCGAGTCTCTGGAGTCTGAAAACTCTGAACTCTGATGCCTTCGAGTCTTCAATCTTCATGTCTCGTCACTCATCACTGTCGTGAACGACAGTGTCGTCACTCGTCACTCGTCTGTCGAGTCTATTTTTACTTTTTAGACTCTATTGGTCAAGACAGAAGAGTACTAAATACCGGTGAGTTTGAAAATAAAACTGAAAATACTCATTTCACTGATTTTAGATGTGAGATTTGAGTTTCGAGTTTTTACAAATCACAATTCACAGAATCACAGTGATTCACACTTTTGAGTTCTCAGTTCTGAGTTCTGAGTTCTTCACTTCTTCTAAAGTTATGAAGTTCTGTCTGACTGTCACTGTGTCACTGTGCCTCTATTTTTTTTGTTTTTGGAGAGAGTTCGCACTCGGCACTCCACAGTCCACAATTACCACAGTTCACACTTCACAGTGCAGCGAGTTCACACTCGAGTCTCGAGTTTCGAGTCTCGACACACTCACAGTCATCACACCGTCAGACGTCAGACCGTCAAAAGACTCACAACTTCACAAGTCACAAGAGTCGAGTCACTCGGAAGTCTGAGTGTCGAACAGCTCGAACTGTCGTCAGTCGATTGTAAATATGTACACACATACCATTGATACCAACAAAGTCCAACTGCCAACAGTCAAGTGACAACACTCAACAGTTGAACAGTGGCAAATGTGGAAATGTGAAATGTGGCTTTATACATAGTGAATAGTGTGAACCAATGGAAACCGTATAGATTCATTGTTTTTTAAATTAGAAAATAAGAATTCCTGTTCTGTTACATAGAAGGCTATGGAATTGATTCCTGACAAACTAAACAAAAATAGTATGGCTCTCTCTCAGACTCTCAGACTCTCTCTATACTAGAGTAGTAGAGGGTATGTACAATGTAGAGGGTCTTTTTAAAATAATAATAAATACGTGACTGTTTTTACAAAATAATTTATACACGCAAGCGGAAACATAAATATTTTATATTTAGCATGGAGCAGGTTGTCTCTCCACGCCTACTGAGTAGTGAGTACAACACCATGGCACCGACTATCTTAACTAACCTTGCTCACTTGTATTATATTCTACCATACATTCAAGGTTAGTGTTCCACACTGTGGCCGAAGTAGATTTCAAATACAGAAATTCATCCTCGGTCAACAAAAAATATATACGAGTGATCGAAATAAGTCTTTGCTCTCCTCAGCTGATGTACTGAACCACTGATAAGAAAGTATCACAAGGAGGCGGAGTGGCAGGTTAAATAGCGTTCCAACCGCTTGCAGCCATTTATAATAATACAATAGCGCAAACGATAATTAAAATAATATGATACTCGTACAACTGGAAAGGCATGGCAAACTAGTAATCATATCTGTCGCAGTCTTGTGTTTTTTATTTAGTGTCGACGTACTTCCACCATGTGAAAGTCCGTTTGTGGGCGCTAATAAACCTCTGCCAGGCAGTGCCAATATGTCTGTAATGGCCTTGCGAGAAGAGTGTGACGTTCTATCTACATTGATGAGTACGACTGCAAGAGGGTACAGATTGCATGTGGAGTGTCCTTGTGCCACGAAGCAGTAGTGGATGCCGTGGTGATGTGGGTTAACGGATCAGACACTGCATGGAGAGGTGAATATGATAGTGCATTAAGATATGCAAAAGCGATGGTAGACAGCTCAAAACTAACAGCTAGTGCTATAGTGGACAATAGATTTCGAGATTTTGGTCAGTTGAAGTATAGTTGCGAAGTATTGAAATGTACGCACCATGGATCCGTAGAATATACATAGTAACAGATAGCTAATGGCCCAACTACCTCAAGCCAGCAAACGAATCATTACGCTTGCGTTACGTCACCCAGAGCGAGCTATTCAACAACTATTTTGAAGCGAAAGAACCCGCTATGAGAGATATGGGTCGCTTGCATAACTATAATAGTAAGACCCTTGAATTTCTTATCTCTTTCATTCCAACCTTGGGCAACGAATATATCTACTTCAATGACGACATGGCCGTGATGAACAAAGTTACAATGTCCCAAATTTATGATGTGCAAAGTAAGAAAGGCATAATACAAACCTGGAAAGGATACATCCCAAATTTTGCTACTACATTTGGTCTGAACACAGCATTGCGGTGGGCGCAAAACATAATTCCCGATGTGGAGTGTATACGTCCTCAATTCGAAAACGGGACAGTGGATGACCAAGATTGTTTACAGTCCTTCCACGGACCTAAACTGATTTTTAAAGAACTGTTCACTAATGCTTGGGATGTCCTGAATGACGATATGAAGACCTTACTGTACCATCCTTTCCGTGACCAGTACTTTGAACCGAATCCATGGGCATTCTCACCTCTGATCGGCGTGCCTAGCCATTGCACAGTCGCTCAAGATGCAGACAGTCTTTTTTTCGCCACATTAACTGAGAAAACCACCAAAACTCACTACAAAGGCTCAATGAGGACACTACGACTTCGTGGTTGTGTATGGACGATGATTTCATGGACGGCGATGTAACAGAGGAGGTAGAAATGAATATTCAAATGAGCTACGAGAAGAAATATCCCACAAAATCATCATTTGAAGTATAAAACCCTAATACTATATGTCACGGTCTTTGAGAGTATCAATACTAATACTCCAGAAAGTGCAAATCGATAGTGAAAGAGCAACACCATAAATTCTATTAACTACCTACCTAAGCCGAGGTACGAGGCTCGAAAAACGTCACTGTCAGGTGCATTCTCAACTAAAATATCATGCACACATAGAAATTCCCTCAAACAGTATCGAAATAGCGTCGCCGGTAGCAAACAATACACACACACACACACACACATATATATATATATATATATATATAATATATANAGTATATATATATATANATATANANATANATACATATAACTAACAACTACTACTACTAAACTTAATA